TTTGATTTCCTTGTTCTTTTTGTCTCGCACTGCTCCGCGTGTTTTACTCTATGGGTCCACATTAAAAATTTTTGTTACCTCTCTTATTGTTGGTTTTGCTTCTTCGATTAGTGTTAACAAATTCCCAGCAATTTCGCTCAGTTCCCAAAATAATCCCATATCCTGAAAATGTGGAAGATCAGAAGTGTGAAAGGCAAAGTTTGCCGCGTCATTGAGTATTCATCTCTGCGGCGACACAATTGCTCCTCAGTCTTTCTTCCCGTTAACATAAGTAGCTCTTACGCAGATATTCGTGAAGATTGTGCTTTTTTATGTTGTGTCTTTATAGGCTTTCATCGTACTGCTGCTCTAAAAGTTTCGAGTTTCTGACCAAAATTTTTCTCACAAAAGCGGCCCGCACTATAGTTAATAGATTGGTGATATCCCACAGAAATGGTTCGATTTTAAACTATGGAGATGGGTATCAGGCATCCTATATACAGAATCCTTAGGACATGCATTAAACTTCGCTAATTTTTTTAATCTCTTACTTTATAACTCGATGATGCTGCTTTGTCGTAGAATAGCTTTGAATAGAGTCTTGATTGTTTATCTTACTTTATATTGGCAACATTCTTGTAACACATTTCACGTGGCCATTGGATTGCGGAAGGACTGCGTTATTGAGCCACCAACCAATACGATAATTTTGAAAATGTTTACTATTTACTAAGGATTGTTTCAGTATCGGTATCAGTATGAACTAAGTCGTTAGGATACCATAGGCCAGTTACACTAACTAAAAGCCGTTGTGAGAATAAGTATGGTAAGGTTTCGAAAGAGCAACTTTTAAAATTATGCCGATTGTATCCATAAACCACTTTAATAAGGTAATTACCGAAGCTCCTGTCTTTATGCTGAGCAGGTCTTTCTGTGATGGGAAGGATGCTGAGGAGCCATAGTGTCAGAAGTTGCGCACTTAAAAATCCTACCTTCCACATTTCCTATCCGTTTCTACACTTTGGTGGGTGCGACTATCTTGGAATTTGCCGAGTTGCTCAAAAGCTCTCAGAGTGTTATCAATAAATGATGAAAAGCAATCGACAACAAGAAAAATTTCTTAAAATACAGTGAGACACAAAACTTCAACGAAAGTATTTAAAAAAACCTGAAACATTGATTCGGATGACACTCGTATACAAGAGCTATTTTTATTGCTGGTTTTATAAAAAAAAACCATAGATCTTTGTATCTAATCCGTCTGCTCGAATAGAGGTAGTATAGCGGTGAAATAATGTATAACCGTTATGCAATACCGCTCATAACTTTTGTAAAAAAAACGCGATTTTACATAAAAATCCGTCGCAAGCGTCGCATCGTCATAACTTCTTTCAAAAGAAATATTTTTAAAGAAAAGCGGTGTTAGAATTAGCTCGTCCAGACGACTCTTAGTTTGCTACACTACACCAACATCTGAGGTATACGGTAGATGCAGTAGGAAG